CGCCTTTAAGGAATTCACCTTAGGTATCTTTCTTGACATAGAGGGCCCCTTTAATAATATTCTTCCGGAGGCCGTTGTGGGGTTACTTTCCCAAGTGGGACTGGAGCGGTTTCTGGTGGAGGTAATAAGACTTCTCCTTCAGAAAAAAACTATCTCATCAGAGTCGGGGAGCGCGTCCATAACCAGGCATGTAACGAGAGGTACCTCTCAAGGAGGAGTTCTCTTCCCCCTGCTCTGGAACCTTGGTTGGTAAATTCTGATGCGACTGCAGAGTACCAGCTGTCACGTCGTAGCGAATGCCGACATGGGCGTCGCCAGGATCGAATTTAGGGGGGGCCGACACATATAAGAGAAATCCTAAAATTTTCATCTTTACACATTCATGTTTCTGGCATGCGGGGGACGATATGTACTTGTCAATTTGTTTTACAAAAATTATTTAAAAAGCAGATGTCTCGGTTGCTCAGAAAACCGGTTAATCGTTTCTGCAATCATTTCACATTGATTCTCTAAAACAAATTTTCGATGTATTCTTAAAATGCATAAACCTAAAGGTAAATTTTTAAAGGAAATTAAACTAACAATTTATTAAAACTAGTGTAACATCGTAATACGGGTGAGTACTGAGCCCAAAATTTATTTAAAGAACTTCGTGGAAGATAACAATTAATCTTGCTTTGCTAAACACCTAATAACCCAGGATAATTTTTTAGTTCTTAAAAGACCTCACTGCACGAAGCCATGAGAAAACCGTCATCTTTAAGGTATAGTCCAACCTTTCACAATATCTGGTATTAGTCTTAATCTGAAACATAATAATCATTGAAAATTGGCGCCGTTTATGGTGGAAAGCACACTTTCAAACTAAAGATTTCTTAACCCTAGAAGCCTAATCTATTTGGGAGTAACGTAAAGACTTAACATACGCCGTAGAGGCTTATGTACTTAAAAGATAATCTGTGAGCTAAAATATACTTAGTCCTGCCTTATTTTTTAAAGAATATTGAAGTTGTGCGTTTGACTAATAATAAAACATAGTTTTTTTAATAAAAACTATAACCACATTTATTTAAAACAACAAAATAAAAAGTAGATTTTGTGTTAAAATTAAAAAAATACCCATTCCGTATACGCCTCGCAGACATAGATTATACTTTTAAGGTTAACCCTTTCAGTACAAAAATTCGACCACTCGTTCTAAAAAATTTTAAATATGTATATCGGCTAATTTTGGAACGTTCATTTTAAAAATCACATAAAAAAATGTGCAGTGCTTCGAGGTTTGCAGTCATTCAGGGTCCTTTTTAATGGTCAGTGATATCCCAGGTGTTTAAAAAAGAAAGCTATTTTTATTTTTTGCTTTCGTGAAATATATTTCAAAACTATGAATAATACCTAATAACTTTTCCGAAAATCAATTCCACGGAAATATGGTTAATATTTTTCGATAGATTATATTACTCACTATCGACTTTTCTGCCGCTTTTTACTTTTTTGACAACGCGGTCAACTGCAACTACAGCTTGCACTTTAGTTTGATATATAGTCAATTCTGTGGCTGCTACAGATCGGCCTAACTAAGTCGTATGACTGTGCAATTATATATAGATACATCGCGACATGTAACACATCATGCAAGTGCCAGTTTATATCATGTCGCGTATACATGTTTGAAAGTGATATATGAAGACATTGCCGAATAAATTCAAATGAAATCATGTATCAAATTTATGCATGTCAACAAAAGGAACACATGCGACATATTCAGTATCATTATTTACATTGTATATACGGGAAGAGATTTTTCGAATTTTGTAAGCTCCTACTATAGTAAAATTTATTAAACAATTATCTAATTAAAAATCTATATACCAACGGTGGCTCTTTGCTTAGCAAAGGGCGGCCCTTTTAACTTTCTCCTTGTTTAGAATATTTTTGCTCTTTTAACTTTTTAAAATACATATTTCATACATATTGCACATATACATACATATTTTACATACATACATATTATACATATAAATACATATTTTAGCCCACAGCAGTTTGCCAACAAGAAAACAGCTGATGAAGAAGAGCTGGTTGGAATTTACGCAAATCCCTAAATTGAATTTGATAGTTTGGAAGTTGGAATAGTAAAATGCGTTATTCGTTTAGTCTGTGAACTGTGTCAGGATAAGAATTCAGGATTTGTTTTCTAATGTCTTAAATTTTATACTTTACAGGTCTATTTGCGCTGGTAACATAAATTTTATAACCGGTAATTAAAGTGTCCGTAAATTAATTAAACCTTTTTCGCATTCTGTGCTCTCTTGTAACCGGTAAATTTGGTTACCATCTCATAAGCTGGTAACAAAATATTGCCCCATGAAATATGCAATACAGGAATTTCCACAAATCTTCATAGCTGAGTTGCTGAATATTTTCACTGCATTACCAACGTACCTGGAATCGCGGTGACAAGAAGTGTTAACATTTTATTATCCGGTCATAAAATCTTCGGTAACGTGCAGAATAGACCTGTTAATGTAAACAACATTTATATCAGCTGTTCGTCTAACTTGCAAGTTTCTGCAAATTTTCTGTTCGCGTACTATTTTGTATATTAATCTCTTGTGAGAGAATAGATGATATTTCGCCGGAATTTTGCTGCTGGACATTTTTTTTACTGGAGATTTTAAACGAACGTACCTATTGACTATCCATGGTATTATAACTTTGGCCCGATATTTGTAAGTGTCAGAATATGAAAAGATAGACTCATGAAAATGTGTACTTATGTATGTGACCAGAACATCGAGCTGAGCCGACTTAGGCTTATGGCAACCGAACTTCAGTTGGGTGGCTACTGATTGAAATGGTTTTACAGATGGCAACTGCAAGCTGGCAACTAAGTTGCTATATTGGCAACTACATTTTTGTGGTCGCTGCGGTAATAATCGAAGATTGTATACCGACATATAAGGTAAGCCCCCCCCTGCTCCTACGTAGTGACGCCCACGTATGCCGACAGCATTGCACTCACAGCAACGGGAAAGCATCTCCAAACGCTAAGCGAACTTTTTGCTCGGTCTCGTGTACAGCTGGTCGGGGGAGTGTGGACTTAAAGTCAATCCCACCAAGACCGAAATGGTACTATTCACGAGGAAATATAAGGTACCGTCGTTTCAGCCCCCCTACCTAAACGGGGTGGGACTTACACTCTCCAACGAGGCTAAATATCTCGGTTTAATTCTCGACAGGAAGTTGGACTGGAAGCCGAACCTTACGGTACGATCAAGGAAAGCCATTACCGCCCTTTACGCCTGTAAGGCAGTGGTAGGGAAACGATGGGGTCTGAAACTACACATAATACACTGGATGTACACGGCGGTTGTTCGACCTATCCTTTTTTATGGGATCGGGCACTCAAATATTTTGGGCATCATTCCAGCAACCCTACATAAGCTGGATTACATTAGTCGACATTTCTGCTTCGAAAATACGTTTTCTACCAGAATTCCAGACAGAAGAGACTTAGTGAACCGCTCGAACTTTGATCCATGATCTACCGCTATCTTTACGGACGGGTCAAAGCTCGACAATAAAGTTGGAGGCGGCATCTACTTTAAATGAGTCTCGCTAACCCTAAATAGGCGGCTCCCTAACCACTGCATCGTTTTTCAGACCGAATGAACAGTCATAAGGGAGGCCGCCCTATGGCTTAATAACGGCACAAATTGTCTCCCATCCATCACTATTTATTTATACAGCCAAGCAGTGTAGTAACACTTCCTGAAAAGTGGCTACCGAATGCATAAGTACCTTGAACGAGCTCGCCGCGAAAGTCACCATTAACGTGGTATGGTTACCACAGTGGAATACCGGGAAACTGCGCGGTAGACTACCTTGCGAGCGGGGGAATTGAACTATGCTCAGCAAACTCTGGGCTCGATGCAGGCGTCCATTGAGTTCATTGAGTTGGCAAACAAACGTTGGCCGAAAGAACCAACATGTTCTGTTAAAAAACAGATCTGTACATTTATAAATGAGAAACGATCCAAAACTCTTATACAAATCGGCCGCCCCATTATTAGCACAGTTGTCGGTATAATTACAGGGCACTGTCTAATGGGGCTATGGACGTCCGCGACCTTCAACGATACGTTAAGGTTACACGATCAGAATATGTCAAATTGGCCTAAGTGTGCCTCTCTGCCGGTCCGTTACCTAACCTAACGTGGAAGAATTGTGGGAATAATATCACTGACATTAGTTCACTATAGAGAAGATCAAAAGAGGACATATTTTTTAAGATCCTGATGTTAATACACATTTGAAAAGTTAATTAATGTCATGGATGTTAATAAACATGCAGGCTTTACGGTGACTTGTAATAAGGTCAGCGGAAATAACGTCCATGGACACTATTTCTCATCCTCCACAGACAACATTACCTTTTCGAAAGCGATGTAAAACCCATGTACGTTATTGGTCTTTCAAAACAATATTGGTAAAATCCACTTTCAACATTCATATATACAGAGTATACAGCTTTAAAAGTGCATAACACGACGGTGCAAAGAATCCCAGGACATGACAATTTATCTTGTAATAAATTGCATTATATCGAATGGAATTCGGTATTTATAAATGAAGTATTTGTTGATTGGAGTATTTGCTGGTAATGCTTATGTGAGCTATTAAAAGGCGTATTAACTTCTTTGTTTTTCTGTAGGTTTGGAAGGTTAGTAATATTTTTGATGACACTTTCATTTTGTGAATTTAAGTCTTAATAATAAAATTTGTTTTTCTAACATATACCTTGTTTATACCTAAACAAGAACCGCATTAACAAAAAACAGATTGGACTCAACATATGTATATTTCTTTACAGCATTTATACCTCTGTCTTTATAGCGCACTCGATAAAATCGTATTCAAAAGTAAACAAAATCTGCTATTTTTAAACGACATTTTTTTAATAAATAATTTGCGGGGTTGACCGAAATGGAAACAAACAATAATTGCAATTTATTAAAAGAATAATTCGAATTTAAAACGGGCTGTATAAAGAAAACCAGCCTATTTTCACTTCACGTCAGATGAGTGATGCGTTTATACTTGTTTTCTAACTGATGTGAGAAACAAAAAACCGATTTGAAAACCAATTGAAGTCAATACACTTTCCAATTTCAACGCATTTTGAAATTTAGTTTATGCACCCGTTTTGAATCACAGCGTTTTGAGTCAAAGCGCTTTATGTGTCGGTATAAACAAGGTAATAACTTCACTTTTATGGGGTGAATAAATTCCGAAGTGACTTAATGTCAATTGACATTGACTCAAAATGAAAGTACATACCATCCATTGCGACAGCGTCACCGCCACCGTCAAGGATGCTTATGCGTCAAGTTACACACAATTCGTTTGATATTGCGCCCGAAAAATCATTAGCTCGCTGATACTCTTTGCAAAAGTTGCATTTTACTTTTTCACTTCTATTAGGCTTTCCTCCATTATTTTTTACATTGCGTGTTCCATAAATATTAAAATTTTTACAAACTGGAAAAATTTACGTACAAACATGTAAACAACACACTGAATAGTTGTCATTTGACGCAATTACATAAGGAAAATTGAGAGTTGAGCTAATTTGTGCGGCACCGTCACCGTCAGCTTGTTCATGTAACTTACTTCATACAAATACACCGAATCAGCTTTTTTGACAACTGCCGTCGACGGTGACGGTACATGTTATGTACTTTCAGTTTTGGATTTTATGCTAATGTCATTGATATTTATTCCCTTATAAAACTGAATTTATGTTAATTGACATTAATTGCAATGACATTATTGAACGTCACTGAAGCACTCCCTTCTACACACACTATCCGTTTTGTTCATCAAAAAGACATAAGAAGCAAACATCGCGAGGTATCTTTTTTCTTTTTGTATAAATTTTCATTAGTTTGTAAGAAAATATTTACGTATTTACTTGAAGCGGGGTAGTTATCCGTATTTATTAACCCATTCCTGCCTAATGGGTTTAAATACCCAAGAAAGTGGTGTCACTAAATAAATTCTAGCTCGGGCTAGGAAAGAGATATCGAAGTTATATTTTTTTTTGATTGAAGAGGAAGAATGGGCCTTAAAAAATAAAATTATGTCAGTATATTGTTTTCGTTAAAAACTTTTTTTTTTAAGCCAAAAATCGAGGTTTTTTTTATCGGAAAATGCTTAGGAAAAGCGCTCCCAAATATAGGGAAATGGGAAAAACGAAAAAAGCTCACCTTACCAGATAGCTTCAGGTGTCCTTCATGTAATGAAAAACGCTATAGAGATATCTCAACACACCTGGCCGTTACACCTGGTTAAATGAAAATGGGTATTTAAATACCCGACAGTCCAATGTGGGTACACAAAAAGTCTTTTTTTTCCTATATGGAAACATTTAATTTGCAGTGAATAAAACGCATAATTAAATAGAATTTTTTTTTATTTTACTGAGAAATTATTATATTTATAAGAAATAGATTACTTAGCCTTGGCAATCTTTTTCTTATCTGGTTCAACGCCGTTGTGGTAATCCAGAAAGCAAGGAGCGGGATGCAAGTTCACTTGGCACTTCAAGCAACCATATTCAGTTTTGCCACCGCATTGCGGACAACGATGACGAGTATTAAGTTTTCCGATGAAATGATCCATACGGTCGTAACGCATTGCCAGTTGTGCCCCGGAAGCCGACGTTCTACCCGGATGATGATAACTGGACTTGATCATAATCGATTCACACACCTCCACTCGAAATTCATATTGAGACATCGGTGGCTTCTTGTCATACTTGCGACAGAAGCAATGTAACTTCCATGCATTTACCATAGCCGCGTCAAACGCATTTGTTATTAATGGCCAATACCACTTTTTTCCCCGAATCCGAATTCGATAATTATTCATTGCATTGTCAAAAAGGTCCACACCTCCCATAAGATGATTGTATTCGTTGACCAAATACGGCTGCTCAATAGTAACCATTTTCCGTTGCTTTCGATCATACCGTTTCGCGCGGACCATTGGTGTATGGCTTAGGAAATTCGATAATAAGGTCACGACCTGAAAAGATAAGAATGAATGAAGAACACATCAACGATGGACGTAAAGATCAAAATGAACCGATAGTCAAATTGAAACGTTTCTTTGCACATATAACTTACCGCATTATCATTCCAACGCACCGCCAAAATAGAATTGTTCGTGTCGAAACGAAAGTCAGACGTCCCGCGAGGCTTCTTTTTCATTTCCTTGATGTTCATTAATGGGGCATGATTGGTCCGATTATCACGAACAGTTCCCAAAGCGAAGAATCCATCGTTCGACAAACGAGTCATAAGTTTGTGACTTGTAAAAAAGTTGTCAAACGTAACCGTGTGCTTGGCGCGGGCCTCCAGATGTGAAAGAAGTGATAGCACAACACGTTCTCCCAGTCCGAAACCTGGGTCCTCCTGTTCTGATGCACCAGCGTATGGAAGTAGTTGATACAAGTAGCCTTCTGACGAAGCCAAACACCAATACTTGTACCCGAAACGAATTGGTTTTCCCTTGATGAACATTTTGCACGAATGTCGGCCGTAGTAGGCAATCATTTGTTCATCAATGGAAAGGTTGTGAGAGAAAACACCAAATTGAAGAAATTTTTTGTTCAATAAGTCATTCAATGGTGCGACTTTTGCAAATTTGTTTTTCATATCCAATGCTGAGTTGTCACACACGTGAAAGAACTGTTTGATTCGTTTGAATCTGTCTCTTGAAATACATTCTTTTATTAGCGCGCATCCTAATGATTCCCGATTTGACCAATAACTATGTATTTGCGGCAATGTATGGTAACCGGTTATATACAACACGCCCAAAAACGTTTTCATTTCGCTAATTGATGTTATGAACGAAGGACAATTTTTGGTCGCAGCATATTGGTTGGTTGAAGTAACCAACAGGTTCAACACCTCCTCATCGATGAACATTTCCCAAAGCTGCACTGGATTCATGTCACCAATTTTCTCATACAACGCTTTGTGTGAAGTGGCCGAATCATCGAATGGAATCTTAGTGAATTGATAATTTTGCGACCGAGACCATTTTGGTTTCATGCCCTCTTCGATTCTGGGTCGCTTAGGTGGCTTACTTGATTTAAGCGTTGATTTGCGACCACGACCACTAGATGTCGAGGCCACCGGTGTATCATCTTCTTCTTCTTGTTCAAAATCGGGTTCATTTACGGTATCACCATCACAACCCGATGGCAAGTGCTCGTTGCTGTCATCGTAAACGCATTGAATTTCAAATTGCCCTGCAATCTCATGAGGCAGCTCCGGGTCATCGCGCAACAATTGAATATTGTCGTCCAATTCCTCATTGTCACTCAGAATATCGACGACATCGGGTGGCGTTATGATAATATCAACGGCGTCTGCGTGTTGGACAAAGTTATCCTCTCCATCACTATCTCCATCAGACCAACTATCTAAAATAGCTTGCAGCTCGATAGCAGTGAGAACTTTCTGCCGACGAATCATTCTGAATATTCTATAATATATTGAGACATATATTTATAATTTTACATAAAATATAACGAAAAAAGATCATGTGTACTTACAATTGTTTATAATCAGCCAATTTATTTCTTATCACTTTTTTCTTGTTTATTTTACCTTTTTATATCACTATAAGTATTTTTTTTACATGTGGGATGATGGTGCATAAAAAAACATTTGGCAAATGTCAATAATGCACAAAACGTCAAAACAATAGCCAATGGTGTTTTTTTTGGAGTTATTTCAAAGTTAATGTTAATGCCTGTCGGGTATTTAAATACCCATGTCATATCTAAGGTGTGTTCGCATGTAAAATTTTTTTTTTTTTCTATCAACTTCTATGGCCTCCCAGGCACATATTTAAAAATTTCATCAAAATCGTACCAGCGGGTCTATGGGCAGGCATTAATGGGTTAAGTGTCTGTTCAGGACCCACAAAGTTTTGGGCTCTTCACATTTAAAGTTATTGATGTAATTTTTATTTGATAAGCTCGAGGCCAAGAAAATACATAAAACACAGGTTTTAGTTCATTAACTTTTAATGTCGATATTTCGACCTCAAACTAAAGTCATCTTTAGGACTGTAAGTACACGTAAACATTTTGACTTATTATCAACCTGTAAAATTATTGTAAAATATAAGTTAAACAAATCTTACATTCTTACAGCCAGTTTCACCAAACTCATTTAAGTGGGAATTAACATTAATTTAATTTTTTATTTAATTCGCATTTCAATTATCTTCAGTTTCAATAAGCTATTTATTGAAGTGAGTAAGAAGTAGTTGTAAAACAGACTAGGCCAGCGAAAGCTTTCATTTGTACTGAGAGTTTTGAAAGCTTTGGCACGCTGTGTTGTAAGCAGCAGCAGGGCTGGTATACAAGTAAGCAGCAGATACACAATGATAAGCTGATTAAACGTGTAACACCTCTGAAAGTGGTTATTCTGATTTAAGTTTTATTTAAATGAAGAGCATAGATCACTTAAATCAAAATTAAAAACAAATTAAAATGGATTGGTGAAACCAAAAATTCGAAAATCAAAATAAATTTTCACTTAAATGAATCTGGTGAAACTGGCTGTTAGTTGTGCCCGGTCGACTGATTACGAGTGCAGTAATATAATTTAAGTAAGAAGAACTTAAGCATAACAAAATAAACTATCGAGAAAACCGAAATTGTAAACTACAATTATATATCAACAACAATACCCTGAACATTGAATTTTAGGCAAGTGAACATAAGCATAAAAAGTTAACAGTTTAACCATACCGCAATTATAAACAAAAACATGCAAACAACAATACAAGCAATATTGGACAGTAAGGGCCGTTTGCACCATGTCTAGTTAACGCTAACTGGAGGTACATCCTTCAGTTAAGCACGTTAACTGCTTTATCGATCACATGTTATATGATGGGTGTCGATAACGTCGATAAAGATGTTTAACTGGGAGTTAGAATTAACTAGACATGGTGCAAACGGCCCTAAGACGTAATTATGTACATATGAAATCACAGCTTTGTGTTGTTGTTCTTCGGAGGACTGTTGGGTAAACGAAACGGCTATTGATTGTCGAAGAGGGGGGACGGAACACCTATGTTGAGGATTGTTGTTGTGAATTTAAAATCAAATTGCAATATAAATGTGCATAATTGTCTGTGTCCGTTTTATTATTGATCCTCTTGTCATTAAGAGTGTTCGTTAAGTGCATATTTCCAAATAAAGCGTTTATTATAATTCTTTTCTTTTTGAAGAATGGCAACATCAAAATCGGGATAGTGTCCCGTATCCCTACAGTTGACAAGGCCGTCTAATTGTCCGTTGAGTTGTCCCTTAACCTAATATTTGATTTGTGTGCAGAAATACATGTCTTAAGTGTCCCAGCATACACTTGGTCGCATAAGTGGAACCCGTCGCCATTACATGAAATTTTTATATATTACGTCCGATTTCTCGTACCTAGGAATAATGTCTTTGGTGTTACTATAAATTTTCTTTAGTGTATTGTTGTAAGTGAACGCTATTTGGACCTTTTCTTTGTCATATATATTGGAATGTTTGATCCTCTCCGATATACCCGGAACATATGTAGTGGATTTATAAATTTTGCTTTCATTATTGGACTTTTCTGAAGTGGTCCTGGTGTAAGAGATTTGAATAAGCTTCATAATTATGTAAGAGGGGAACTCGTTCTGTTCCAGAATTTTGTGGATAATATTTTTGTTCTTTCTATGAAAAATCCCCTCTTATGAAATTGGTAGCAGTATTTAAAATTGTTTTCTTCGCATCCTTTGAGTTTTAATTAAGTAGTCTCCCTGACGACGTTGGTTTGGCATACCAGTCAATATTTAATTTATTGTTTTTCCTAATTTCTAAGGTGTCCAAAATCTTTTTCTATTTCTATCGCAAATTAGAATTAAAAGGTAGTCCTTTTTTAATAGACAACTAATCAAAATTATAATTTCATAGTGTTTTAGAGAATGCCGGCTAATAAGGGCTGTTCGGGATCTTGTGAATATGCTCTTGGATTTGCATTTTCGTTGCATTTCACAATAATAAAATGCGCACGGTTGCCATGGCAGCAAGCATTAAATTTGCAAATGCAATTCCAACTGCATATCCAAGACCATTTCCTGAACAGCCCTATAGATATTTGGAGAAAAATCTCAGCCACAATATTTACCAAAATTTTGGTCAGTGCACGACGAGTCAACAAGTATCCCTTTCGCTAGAACACAAAACAGGCTGAGTTCCAAAACGTTAATTGCTTTGTATACGTACAAAGTATAATGTTCCATAATGCCGAACTACAAAATATTGACAATGTATACTTTTCCAAAACGCATTAAAAATTCAGAAAAATTGTTCATTGCTATATTTAATATTTAAAGTTTATTTGTTCATTTGCTTAACAACCAAGATTGATAGATAGGTTTTTTTTTTATCAATCTCTCCAAACAACAATCAGCTGTTCTGCACAAAATGTAAACAAACTAACAAACGCCACAACAATTTCAAGGAAAAGGCAACAGTGTTGCCACTTGTTTGGTATATTTCCACAGATTTGATCTGGAACCCAACGAAAGCTAAATGGTATTTAAATAACAATACAAAATTAATCTTAAGTTTAGTTTAGATATTCACCTGAAATTGGGCCTAAAAGTAATCCCTGGGAAACGAAATTTAGGGTTGTATAAACTTGCCAGTGGGTTTGAAACGCCTTGGTTTATACGACCACCTCAACTCACGACAATTAAAAATGGCCAAAAAATAAGATAAAAACTGTAAACGCATATAGAAAAATTAAAATATTAATAAAACCCACTAGACTTAAGTCATAATTTGTTTCTAAAAAGAATTGCCAAAAATTTAATTGTACATATATTAATTTCTTTTGTCCATTATTTTTTATTAAGGAACAGAATAAGATTGCTTATTGATTATTAAAATGGTTTCATTTTATAATAAGTTAATAGCAAAAATATATTTTTATAACAAGCTTTTTAAGTATGAACCAAATCGAACCATAAATGCTGGTTTGCAAAATATCTCCTTCCTGCGCCACCTAGCGGCCTATTTCATATTGCATTGCCATCGGGTTATAGGCTAAGTTTAGAGTTTAAAATCTGTAGCTCATCGGGAGGTTGGTGAAATATTTATTGCGAAATCCCAGGACATACATACAAGTCTAGTTAAATAAAAGCTTCTAGAAAATACATAATGTTTGCCCAAAATAATTTTGAATTCAGAATTTTAATTTTAAATCATTTGGTTCCTACAGGATTTTACAATACAGAATATTTTTACCCAAGAATTTTTCAGAATTTCCAGAATTTTCAACTGAGTGATTTTTGAAAATCAGAATCTAATACCTCTCCCTTCAAAAACTTATATCTCTGGAAATAATACGACTACGTTTATTAATGTTTCTTGACTCAAATTTTGCGTAATTGAATAACGCATAAAAAATGTAGTTGTGTGAAAGAAGTATTTCGTATTCTGCAATTATTTTTAACAATTTGAACTCGATGTTTTTGCATTCAAACACTGCTATTTAAAGCTGAGACCACGCAATAAGCGGCTAAATGGCGAGCGTTTTTTTTTTCTGAGAGACGCCGCCCAACCATTTAGTAATGGCGCTCATTGCGTGGCCACTTCAATAATATGTCATATGTTTTAATTTTAAGCCGCTCACCGCTTAGCGGCTTAGCTGCTCATTTCGTGGTGTCGGTATTAAAGCTCCGTCAGAAGGAGTACTTTGCGTACGTGACACTCAAGGTTGCAACTGACAGTTGAGTAGACTGTTAGTACGTTTATACGGACAGAATAGTCGACTTAATTGAAAGCGCATTGACACCGTACACATTTCGCTCTAGTGTTTATACCTACGGCTTTATATCGGCATCAAAGTAACCATCTTCAAAAGCAAACAAAATAAGCTGTTTTAATTTGACATGTTAACTTACATAATGGAAAGTGATAAAAATCTAATTTTATTCGGCATTATAAAATCGTGGCAAAGAAAAAGAACGATTATTATTAATCAGCCATTAAATACTGATGCGATTATTTGGAATTTGAGCGGAACAGCTGACCTCCACTTCGCTTTGAGTGAGAGCGGTGTTTATACACTCTTTCTAACTGTCTGGAGAAATAAACTACCGATTTGAAATGGATTGTGAGCCAAAACACTTCGCTCTTTCAAAGCGAATTGAAATTCAGTTTATACATATGTTTTGAATCGCGGCGAAATCAATTAAAGCGACTTATGCATGCGTATAAACGTAGTATGTGTGCGTTTGCATAGAGAGCGTAAGATTGGCAAAGCTTGCGTCAATGTACGTTGGTCAACTCAACACTTTTGACGGAAGTTGGTCCGCCACTGCTGACAATTGTATTACCTTGCGTTTATACAAGACAAAACAATTGATAGTATGTATTATTTGTCACATTGTTTGAGTAATGTGGGCGTCCTAACAATAAACAGTCTTCAAAATTTGTAGACAGTGACGAAGACAATGAGAGTAGTGCGGATATATTAGTAAAAAAGTATGAATGTATTGCTATTGTATCTGGAAAATTGACTTGTGTAAACCCCAAGTATGCGATCATAAATAACAGCTGATTTTTGTTTGCAAACGCAGCACCTTCATTGTGGTGCCGTTCTACATTACTTTACATCACGTCAGTTCCATCCTTGAGCGCCACGTACGCAAAGTACTCATTCTGACGGGGCTATTAGGGTGTGAAATTTCACGTCGTCATCTATTGTAGAAGTTTAGAAGGAAATAATATTTAAATTATATTAAGCTCTAAAATATTTGCATAGTATAGTAGGAAACGCCAATGAGTGCGAAAGCTCTACATGGACAGTTTATAATTTTCTGCATAATAAATTGGAAGTCTGTGAAACATAATCAATATAAATATAAAAATAAGGAACTTAAACTTGGCAACAATTGGATTACAATTTTAATACATTTTTAACTGAAGTATAAGGCACATTTTCTTAAGAAATAGTAAAGTATTAGGCTTGCTAACTTCTAACTTTAGAAAATAAAGAAGAAAAGGAAAAAAACTACTCCCTTTAAAACATTGTAGGCAAACGAATATCCAGTTCCATTAGATATACCCATTTTATATTCCATATCTAAGTCAAGAAGTAAATCATGGTTTCTGGTATAAAATTGATGAATGTCACTAATCTGAAAAAAGAAAAGAGTTTCCAATTAATTAATATACATTTGTGTTCAGTCTCAAGATTTGCTTATTTGTATTAAAGTGCAATGCG